TCCATTGTCGTCTCTGGGGTTGGGTGAAAGCAGAAAGCAACGCGTCCCAGTCTCAATGTACTATCTTGATAAGAAATTAGTGATGTACACTTTTATGAAATTTGTTTGCTTTTTTTGGCTTTCTATTCGTTTTCGGGATGTGATGTCTGTGTAATCATAATTTTGGCCTACCCTGTAGAACCCACACACAATCAGCTGATCGCTGAGTGATGAGGCGATGTTTTTCTCCCATTCTTTTTTCCTCTGTTTTTCTTGCTGCCGCGATCCCTTATTTAATTTCCTACTCTAAGAGGCTGGAAAAGGTGAGCTACTTTTGCCGTTACTAAGGTTTTTTTGTTTACTTATGCTTACAAGTGAGTGAACTATTGCTTACCAGTCTGTTATTTTTTTAGTCTGTTATTTGCACCAGGACCCACACGCACGCAGTGAGACACATTGTATAGCTCGTCCGAACGCCCTACCCTTCTTCATTTTACTGGCCTCAATCTCGTCCAGTCCCCTTTTTAACGGTTTTTCGAACTTTTTTTCACTTTTTAAACACTGTCTCACGCAGCTTCTTCACCTTCATTGCACTATTTTCGATCTCGCCTCCCATTTTTCATCATAATCTGGATTACCCTAAATTACCGTGCCTTCAACACAGAGAGCGTTACGGACCTAGTGGTTCTCGCCTTTTCTATCTCGTTACCAGTCCCTATCAGCTGTTATAGATAAATGTCAACAAACATCTACGGTCTCTTTCTCAGAGACACACTCAGTGAATTATATATAGTGGGATAATCATAAATAGTCGTCAGCGACAAAATATGATGAAGTCGCACTGCTTCATTCGTGCCAGCAATGCTATTGTGTCACTTGTACTGGAAGCAGAAATGGTAGGGTGGTCTGACCGCTCATTCTACTACATATAACGCGCTAATGTCTGTGTGATTGTGTTTGTTTGTGTGTGTGTGTGTGTGTGTATGTGGTGTGTGTCAGTATGTATGTCCAACCGAAAATTCATAGCTCTCGTTTCCATAAACATCAAATTTCGTATGAGTACAGGCGGCAGTATGCGAACATTGAAGACAGGTGGTTGATTTTCCAACATTCTCCAATCTTCAAAGAGTTTTTTCGTCGAAATCTAAGAAAGCGGCGTTGGAGGCAGTCAATTATTGCACACACTCTTTGTTCTTTGCAATATTGTTATGGCACCTCTCACCATAGATTGAAGTTTGTCCCTTGGTATAGACCGCAGCTCCGCTCTTCGTCACGATCACATTATGAATATGAGTCAACCCATGATGAAGACCTGGTCTCAGAACCTTTCCTGCCTTAAGGCGATCGCTGGTTGGTTCTCTGGTGGGCGTGTTCTGATACGCAGGTGGACGGGTTCCGTAATGGAGTGGGATTCAGATAGGCTTTCGGAAGCTTTCGCAGTCGCGATGTACAGTAGGGAAGAAAGGGAGTTCGTTTGAATAATCATGAATGGGGGGGGGAGGGGAGTAGAATCTGCAGGATCTACG